CTGTAATGAATGAACTGCCACAATTTTCAGTCTTTTCTTCAGTATACTATTAATTAAATTCCAAATAGTTCTAGATTGTATCATGTAGCTTCCCCTTGGCTAGGAGTGGGAAGAGCCCCTAGAGCAGTTTCTCTGTCTATATTTTTATCACTCCCTAAAAAGCCTTTTTAGACATTTTTGTCCCAGTTGTCACCCTATGAAATTTTATTTTCACAGATATACTGTATATAATCTATTTAATAACTATATATTTGTGTTTTATACATAAAAGTATAAATCTTAACACTTCTTACTCAATACAGGGTTAATAATGACTAAATAAAATATTTAAGTTAAATGTGTTAAAAAAAAAAGTTAAATGTGAAAGTAAATCCATGTTGAACGGATGCATAACATCCATCCCTTCTACTATGGCGATTTTGTTCATTTGTTCATTGAAAGCACTGGGGCATTGGAGAAGGGGGTTGGCAGATTTCCACAGGCTGCATCATCATGTTCCTTTCGGTGGGCAGTCACATGAGTCACAAGTATTCCCACACAGCCCATTCTGAGAGATCTGTCCACTTGCTCCTCATATATATGCAGGCAAAGCAATTAGAGCTGTGTCTTTCACATAAGGAATGCTCTCTAGGTATTTTATTGCATTATTGTTATCCTTACAGGTTCTCCAATCTTGTTCCTTCCTAGTCTCTGACCATCTGGCCAGGCTTAATTGGTAAGATCAGTGCCCCTGACCAGGGGCTTTCTGGACAAAGGGATCAAGTAGATGCATGATTGAGTTTTGACTCCTGGCAAGATTTCCCTTCCTTACTTGCCATCAGGGTCACACCTGGGTGGGGCTGGAGCACCACCGCTCAGCTTCCAGCTAGCTCCTGCTTATCATGCAGTGTCATCTGCAAACCATGCCCTGGGGCTTTTTTTCTTCTTCAGGAAGCTGGTTATTGGGAACTCCCCACAGGCCATAGTAGGTGTGAGCTGAGGAGCAAGCCATGCTCGGGAGTAGGTGTGATGGGGGAGAGGGAGCCTCCTGTAACTCACTTGGGACTTCAGGACCTAACTCACTTGAGACTTCAGGACCTGCTCCCATCTGATCTCCTTTAGATGCTGCCTTTAGGTGATGGAGTGTCATTGCTTGCCCAACTTTATGGATTGGTGGATCAGGTAGCCTAAGCCCACGATGGGCAGCTCAGTTTGCGTCCTGTAGGGTCCCATGGTTAGGTGTTCAAACTCTACCAAGACCCAGTAGTTTGACTTTGTTCAATTAATCATTAGGTGCCAGAGGCTGTTTCTCAAAAGGAGAGTGGTATTCGATGAGGAGAGCATGGCTCTTGATACAAAGCCCTAGAAATTTGTGCTTTGATTCTCCAGTTGGGGCTTGTGTGAGACTCCGCACAGCATCCCAACCCGTCAGATCCTCACTCCACTCATTCAGACATTTATTTGTTAATTCGACCAACCTGTATTAGTGACTACAGTCTTCATGGCCTCGTGCTGGGTGCTGGGGTGTTCTTGATCTCAGGGGACGGCCAGTGCAGTGGGGGAAACAATGGCAGCACTGACGGGAACCACAAGGGCTGTGGGAGTCCAGAGGCACAAGTGACTCGCTCTTCTTCTGTGCACAGGTGTGTTATCAGTCACGATGCTGTGTTAGGAACATCCATCTGCACAAATGCCTAGACACAGGCACGCATGTGTATACAGAGATACAGCCACGTTATGCACACATTTAATTAGAGATATGAGTCAACAGGCCGCATGCTCTGGTGTTAGGAGTCCTTGACTGGGAGGTAAGAGACATAGGTCAAACGCCCCCAACTCCCTCACATGGTCCCCACGTGCCCCCGGACAGGTCCCTGCCCCTCTCTGTCCTCATACCGCCTGTAAGAGGCAGAGAGCACTGGCTCGCCTGGCCTGCTCTCTGTGAGCATCACTTTAGATAGTGGGTGGGGGGCACACAGACTCTCTTACACAGTAGGGGCTGCACAAGTGAGAGCGATGGTGATGGGGGTGACAGTCGATGGGAAGTACTTTGTAAACCGGGCTGGTGCACTGTGCCCATGAGCACGAAGGTTGGGGCAGCTGTGAGTGTGCTAGGAAGGTGCACCCTGTGGAGACTGCAGCCACGTGTCAGACCCTGCTCTGAGCTGTGTCGGCAGGGCGTGGCTCCAACCGAGACACCCCTGCCACAGGTGCTCTGACGCGGTGCTGAGGGGTGGGAGTGGAGGGGTCAGAGGTCAGAGTCTATCTTGAAGGGAGGCTGCCCGTCTGGAGCTAAGAAAGGGAGCACCGAGGACTGGGCCTTCTGGGGCCACGCCTGGGACCACACTTTGCTCCTCTCTGGGCCTCAGCTTCCCCATCCATAAACCAATGACAGCAACCAACGCCCATCCCAGGGAGCTGTTGTGAAGATTAAATGAGGCACACACGTGTGCAAGCACATGGCACCACGACTGGGCAGAGGTGCCCAATAAATGAGAGCAATGTCAATAAATGTCCCTCCTGCACTTCACTTCCGACTTGTGCCACCCCAAGCAGTTCTCCCAGCAGAAGCAATACCTGTGCTAACAAGCCCAGGCACAGGGCCAAATGCTGGGGCCATGCACCCCTTTGTGTAGCCAGCACCCAGCACGTGCAGGTCAGTGTGCCTGGCTGGGGAGAAGAGATTCACGCCAGGAGAGTCAGATGGGCCACACCTGGGAGAGCAGGAGCCCAGGGCACGCGACCTGCCTGCGGGGGAGGAGAGGACCAGGAGGGCTTTCTGGACCAGACCATGGAGCAGGTGCTGGGCCTTGGAAGGGAGCGGGAGGGCAGGAAGGACACGTCGCTGGTGGGGACAAGTGCTGCTAAAGTGATACCTGGAGGGTGGGGGCGGGGCAGCGGCAGCCCTGAGTCTGGGAGAAGAAGGATTAGGGGTGGGCCCCTCAGGGCAGCTGTCTGTGTAAGCCACGGTCACCCGCTGACACAGGCGACAGAGGAGGGCAACCTAGGTGGGGAAAGTGCACAAGCAAAGGCCCAAGCTCTTGACCGGTCAGGCAGGGCCAAGAGAAGCAGCTGGATTTGGGCAGACCCTGGGTGCCTCGGCAAAGCTATTAGACCTGCAGAAGCAGTGGGCATACGTGGGCACATGACTGCGTCAAGACTGAGTGGCTGATGGCTGGAAGGGCCAGAATCTGCTTCTCCCCCATCGCAGGGTCCTCCAGCTCCGGACCCAGGCAGTGGCCAGCCTACCCCCCGCCCACCTGGGTCAGCTCAGCCAACCCCTCTGGGTACCTGGTGTCCTCCCCACCTGCTTGCCCCGAGCTGAGTCCATAGTCGCCTCCAATACGGCCTCTGAGGTTGAGCTCACTCTCACCGTGCCGGCATAGGTAGATGGAGCGGGGCGTTACGTGGATGTTCATGAGGTAGTAGACCGTGCGGCTTTGGATGTGGTCCTGCACTCGGTTCACCAAGTAGCGTGTGCCCACGTCGAAGATCTTGATATAGGACAGGTGGCTGGGCCGGAGCCACGCAGAAACAAGGGCAGCTCAAGGTTGCCGGTGAGGGGCTCTCTGCCAGACTCCCCATTTGCTCCTCTAGGTCCACTCTCCACCTTGCCTGCCCTGCTCTGTGCCTCAGAAGACTGGCTCTTGCTGATGGCATCCCCTGGGCTCCCTTGTTCTGCAAATAAGGGATAGCGTGAGATGGAGGGTGGTCAGTGGGGTTGGGGTAGAGGAGATGAAGACTCCCTGCCCCCTGGGGGGACACATGAAAAAGATGCCCAGGCCTCAGGCCCACTACAGGGGAAGGTTTAAGGAGACTTTCTGGGGAGGCAGATGAGGAGACAAAGCTATGTCTTTTACCTGGTGACTCTGGATCTTCATTCTTTCTGATGATGAAGTCCAGGCATCTGAATGGGGATGAGAGAAGTGGCAGTAATTACAGGCGAATCTCATGGGCCGGAGGCCTCACCACCCCCGTGATGTGGCCATTTTGCAAGAAAGGGTAAGAATCCAGTGCTGCCCAGTCTCTTCTTCACCTGCCCTCTTCTCTGCCCCTTCCAAATTTCTGTAAACATATTGAGATCTCCCCATCCATTCCTCATTTCTCAGGCAAATAAGTTGGTGAAATACCTGTTGGTAAGGACCAAAGATCCCCATCAAGCGCTCAGGTAGGGTCCTACCAACCCTCCCCTTGAGCTTGTCGCTCTACTCTCCTTCCCTCATGGTTGGAGTAACCTTTTACCTTTATGGCCTCCTCGTTTTCTCATTTCTCCACCTTATTTTCCTATACACTGCCATGGCTGGCATCTCCTGCTAACACAGTTCAGGTCTCTGGCTGCACTTGACCCCACAGGACTGGCAAAAGGGCTGCAGCTCTGTGGCCTCTGCTCAGCCTGGCTGCTTCCACTTTTCCCTTCCTGCAGATGTGCTGAAGGATGTCATCCAGAATGTGAGGAATATTACCCAGAGATCATGAATGAGCAAGCTATGCTCTGGAGAAGGTGAAAGGGCAGCCTTGGGATGGGTGCAATGGGGAGATTCAAATCAAACAAAGGTGTACATGTCCCTTCTGGGGGAACCATAGAGACCAGCTAGTCCAGCCCCATCATTGTGCTGGTGGGTAGACAGTGGCCTAGGAGCATGTAGACTAGCCATGGGTTATGCAGCAAGTCAGTAATGAAAGCATACCTAGGACCCAAGCCATCCAAACTTAGTCCCAGCTTCTGTCTGCAGCTGGGCACATCCTGACATGCATTTCAGATGCTCACCTGTCCCTTCCATTCCTCATTGTCTGTCTCCTTAGGTTTCCACTAATCAGGCTGATGACATTGATGACAGTAGTACATTTGCTGTGTGTTTACTGGGTGCTGGCACTTAGTTACATGCTTTATGTGTGTTATCTCACTGACTTCTCACATGCACGAAACCCCTAGGTACATGGGGATCTGCGGCATGTCTGTGAAGCTCACTGAATCCTAAGCTAAATTTTGTGATCTCACAGGCTATTCTTTTACTTGGCAGATGTTTCGAGTCAATCTGAAGGAAATTGATAAGCAAAGTAGCTTGTATATTCTCATCAGCAATCAGGAATCCTCCACAGGCATACTGGGAACGTAAACTGGAAAAGGGCTGGGGTGGGAGGGGGGCTTCTGCTTTCGTTCATGGTTCTAGCCCTTCCCTGTCCTCTCTCCCTGTATCCTCTTAGAGGGTCAGGAAAGACAGGCCCTGACCCTGTCCCAGCCCCAGCCATAGTTGGAGCCCTGCGCTCGCTCAGTAGTGGTGCCTGTTATGATTGATTGAAGGCTGTAAGAGACTGGGGTGGGGCATTCCTGCTGTCAGGTTTCCTGTCTCTCCAGAAGCTTCCCAGGAAAGCAGGCCTATTGTTGCTTGTCTCTGCCTACTGAGTCCCTGGCCAGGCCTTGGTTGAGTGGTTCTCAAGGAGAGCTCCGTGGTGTTGGTGGGCCAGGATACATTAAGGGCAGGAATATCAGTAGGGCCCAGCCTAGAATTCTTTTGGGGCTGAGGGGTCTGGGAGAGAAAGAAGGGACTCACGTTGACTGGGTGCCTGGGTTGTACCAGGTTGACAGGCATCCTTCCATCTTCTTGGCAGCCTGGGAAGGGGAAGATGTGATTTTCTCATTTTGTGGAATAGGAGACTGAGGCTCATGAGTCTGCGTGCCTTGCCCAGGGTCACATGGAGCCTGAAGCATAGACGCGGCAGAATTCTCCCGTATCTGAGGAATCTGGGAGAGGCTAGCCTAGTGAGCTAGCTGGTGTGTCTTTTGTAGATGGCTGCTGGGCATAATCCTCTCTGTCTTATTATTCCCCTTAGGACTAAGGAGTCACCCAAGCTGGGTCTACTCATGGTGCTTCTTAGCATCATCTTCATGAATGGAAATAGATCCAGTGGGGGTGAGTGGCTTGGTGTGCAGCTGAATGGGTGGCTATGGTCTGGATTCCGAGTGTTCATTTTTTGTCCCTCT